TGGCCACAATGACCTTTAGCCCCTGGGGAAGGCAGGGATATGCTGCCCTTCATTGACAAGCAGGCCCAAGCTTAGACACTCTGACTTCTGTCCCCATTTGCACAGCCGAGACTTTCAAAGTGACTGTCCTGTGAGGAGGGGTAACAGGAGACAGACATGCCATGGGGTCCTGGGATCCAGCTCATGCCAGGGCTCACTGGGGGCTGCGCCAGCTCCCGTCTGTCAGCCTCTGCCAACCCTGCCCTTCTCCATGGAGCCAGGGATGATGAAGCTTCCTCTGCTTGTTAAAAAGTCATGTTCAATTGCTCAGTCACATCTGACTCTTTGCAACCTGGACTGCAGCATGCCAGGCTTCCCTGTCCTTCACTATCTCCTGGAGTTCGTTCAAACATCAAGAACCCCATGAATAGTTTAAAAGTTAGCTGCATTCTACTGGCACCAACCTAATGCTCAGGGACTGAGTCCCCTGTGGCCTCTTCCCATGTGACCAAGAGCTAAAAGGCCCTGTCTGGGCTCCCGTGCCCTGGTTTCTTCCCAGATAACTGACAGAATAAAGGGCGGTCCCCTTCCTTGAGACCCTGCCCCATTCTCACAGGTGGGGCCTGGTTCTCTGGATAGAAGTAGGATTCTTTTTAATACAATACAATTTTGATAACAACCAAATGACAAGAACTACTCTCACACAGTTGGGGTGGGTGTTCCCTGACCGAACCCTGACACTACGAGGAGAGCACAGAAGTGATGTCAGTGGACAGTGTGTGGTCAGTTCCCCACGAGCAGGGGCCCCAACGTTGCAGCAGTGGTTCTCTACCTTGGCTGCCCATCAGAGTCCCCTGGGGGCTTTATAAAACCTTAATATCCAGCTTTACCCCCTAAGCCAAGCAGATCATTGTCCTTGGGGAGAGACTCAGGCATCAGTGCTTTTTAAAGGCTCCAATGTGAGTCCATTGGGCAGCAAAGGCTGAGACCACTACGGTAAGGTCTGATATTCAGAGCTGCGGGTGGCTGCACTGCTCAGGGGAGGAGAGTCTTGAGCTGGCTGTGTTTCTAAAAGAGAGCATCTTCATGTGAATCGCTGGGGGTCCCTGGACAATCGTAGATTCCAGGTCTCACAGGTGAAGTCCTGAATTAGTGTTTTACTCCCTGGGGTGTATTCTGATGCCCACTCAAGTCTGAGACCCACTGGCCAGAAACAAGAGAATTTAGGTGGCGGGCAGGGATCACTGGGAAAGAGGGAACTGTTACTCCTAAAGCTCCAAGGGCAGAGAGAAGGAAGCAGGAGGCTCCCAGGTGGGCATGGCCCCCACTGAGCCCCCCCAACCCCCACACCCCCCCCCTCAGTCTGTGCAGGGCACAGGCCTGGCCTTCATTGCGTTCACCGAGGCCATGACGCACTTCCCTGCGTCCCCATTCTGGTCTGTCATGTTCTTCCTGATGCTCATCAACCTGGGCCTGGGCAGTATGATCGGCACCATGGCGGGCATCACCACACCCATCATTGACACTTTCAAGGTGCCCAAGGAGATGTTTACAGGTAACTCCTCCCAGCTGTCCCCACTGGCCTTGGGCTGCCCCAGGAGGGCGGGGGGAAGTGGTCAGGTGGTGGCTCTGACTTGAGAAAGATTGGGTTCCCACTGGGTTATTCATGACTCCATACTTAGAAAGCTTAACCCGGGATGCAGCTGGAACCACCTCAAGAAGAGCACTTCAGAGCCAGAAGGGAGAAGGCTAATTGGGAATCTGTGTCAAACCTGGGCTGGGAGATAGGCCTCTTTCTTGGTTCACTCACCCCTCTCCCCAAGGGCCTGCTGAGGTGTCTGGGCAGGATGGCCTCCCTCCTTGTCAACCCTGCATCCTGTTTCATCCTGATCGCTCCCAGCTCCAGGGTGCTCTCCACCTAGTAGAATGGGAGCTCAGAACCTGGGCATCTGGACCCCCTACCCCACTCCATGCAGGGCTGGGCCTTCTGGAGGGTGAGCTGCAGGCCTGCTTAGGAGAGGGATGGGATGGGAGGAACCTGGGAGCCCTGAAGACACCCCAGGCCCTACCCACCCTGCACCTTTGCCCCCACACTGGCCTCCCGGCTCTCTGTAGTGGGCTGCTGTGTCTTTGCATTCTTCGTGGGGCTGTTGTTCGTCCAGCGCTCCGGAAACTATTTCGTCACCATGTTTGATGACTACTCGGCCACCCTGCCGCTCACCGTCATCGTCATCCTCGAGAATGTCGCGGTGGCCTGGATCTATGGGACCAAGAAGTAAGGGGGAGGGGGCGTGGGGAGAGGTAGGGAACAGGAGGAGAGGTCTGTCCCCTCATGACTCCCTGGAGAGTGCTGTGTTTCCAGGGCTGCTTGTGATTTAGGCAGGAGGTCACAGAGTTAGAATGTTAGCCAGAAAGTGCCCCCCTACAGATCATTCAGGGAAACCAAGTCTCAGAGAAAGGACATGATTGCCCAAGGCCGCTGGGCTGGAGTGAGGACCACTCTCTAATTGCAGTGCATGGGTTTCTCATTGCAGTGGCCTTTGTTGCAGAGCATGGGCTCTAGGCATGCAGGCTCAGTGGTTGTGGTTCTCAGGCTCTAGAGCACAGGCTTAGCAGTTGTGTTGCATGGGCTTAGTTGCCCTGAGACATGTGGGATCTTCCCGGACCAGGGACCGAACTCGTGTCTCCTGCATTGGCAGGCGGATTCTTAACCACTGAGCTGCCAGAGAACCCCTAAAATTTATACTGAATATTAGCAAAATACTATTTTAAATCTGTGATATAGTAATACATGTGTGCTTTATTCTTACTGCATTAAGTTACAAGATCTAGCTGTGGATCTAATAACAAAGGTAATTTCTAAGTAGTGATGAGCATAAATGATGTTTGTAGGTATCTCAATTGTAATGTGATAAAACATCTGTGATTTAATCAATTCCTTACAGCCTCATGGGTGCTTGATAATACTGCTCTCATTGCTTGCACTTGTAATAGAAACACAGGCTTTCAGTTAGGTGTTACTGAGGTAAAGACGATTTTTAAAATGCCATTCATGCACATAGTCTGCCAGTCTCCCGAATTCCACCCATAGGCCCAGTGGTTAGAAACCTGAGTCGGGGCAGCCTTCTGCCTTTGGACGCCAGGGACAGGCACTTCTACCTCCCTTCCAGCAGGGGGAGTCTCGAGCCAGCTCAGTGTGAGTGGGGTTGGGTGCCCAGGAAAGCCCTCTGGAGCCTATCCACGTGCCCAGGGCGTGTCCTGTGGCCTGTACCCTTTCCCTGCGTGAGATGTGATGTGACATAGTCAGAGTAAGCTAGAGGAGGTCAGCAGAGGCTTTTCAGAGGCCAGCAGGGCCACAGAATAATGTACTGAATGGGAAGAATGGAAGAGCCTGGACAGAAGGGACTGGTGAGTGAAGGTTTTGGAGGAGGAGTCTGGGGGCATTGGGCAAGTGCTGTGGGGGTGCCAACTTCTGCACTCTCTGCTGCTTCTGGCAGGTTCATGCAGGAACTGACGGAGATGCTGGGCTTCCAGCCCTACCGCTTCTATTTCTATATGTGGAAGTTCGTGTCTCCGCTGTGCATGGCTGTGCTCACCACGGCCAGCATCATCCAGCTTGGGGTCACGCCCCCGGGCTACAGCGCCTGGATCAGGGAGGAGGTGAGAGTGGGGGCCCGAAACCCCAGGGATCTGGGGTGGCATCTTCCCAGGCCTTTAATACAACAAGTAATAGAGATGAACCCTTACAGGGCAACTACTTGGTGTCAGGCCCCACTAGGGCCTGATCTATAACCTTTTCAACAACCCAAAGAGAGAGGTGGTTTTATTGCTATCACACAAATGGGAAAACAGGCAGAAAGGTGAATGCACTCATCCAGTCTTTCTAAGCCATGTTTCCCCTCCCTGCGGATGACTCTGTGACCAGCCCAGCTTTATACAAGTGTAGAAACTGAGATCTGGGGAGCCTCAGCCCTTAGCCAAGGGGACCAGCGGACCCGAGGATCAGCGCCTGATGACCCCAATTCTGCCAGTGCCTGGGCAGTGGGGGAGGGATGGGAGTGGGCAGGAGGAGTCTGAGGGTGAGGCTGCTGCAGAGCGAGGCAGGCAGCAGGGCTCACCTGTGTGCGCCCCTAGGCTGCCGAGCGCTACCTGTATTTCCCCAACTGGGCCATGGCCATCCTGATCACGCTCATTGTCGTGGCCGTCCTGCCCATCCCCGTGGTATTTGTCCTGCGGCACTTCCACCTGCTCTCCGACGGCTCCAACACCCTCTCCGTGTCCTACAAGAAGGGCCGCATGATGAAGGACATCTCCAACCTGGAGGAGAACGATGAGACCCGCTTCATCCTCAGCAAGGTGCCCAGCGAGGCGCCCTCCCCCATGCCCACTCACCGCTCTTATCTAGGGCCCGGCAGCACATCACCCTTAGAGACCAGCGGCAACCCCAATGGACGCTACGGAAGCGGCTACCTCCTGGCCGGCACCCCTGAGTCGGAGCTGTGACCACTGCCCTGCCCTGCCCACCTCACCCCCCGCCACACACACACACACACCCAGCCAGCCCACGTGTCCCCATCTGGCCTCTCCTTCCGGGCCAGGCCCAAGGCCCAAGGAGTGGGGCTCTGCCCTGCCTCATCCCCCACCCCTGTCCCAGCCGACTTCTGCTCCGTAGATCTGAGTGGGGGTTGGGAGAAGCTCTGTCCCCCGAACTAAGCCCCCAACCCAGCTAACCTTCTGAGATCGTCTTACCAAATTGCAGCTGAGTAACTGGAACCACCCAGCAGTCCCGATTCCTGGCACAGGGGAGTCTCCAAGTGGCTACTCTGGAGTTCGTTCCTCCTTCCCGCTCCTCCTGGTATCTGCAGCTCTTAGGTCTCGGGGCCCCTTAGGTCTGTGCTGCCAGGTCGTGGCTCTGGCAAGAGGCATCGGGACAGGTTAGGCAGGGTGTCCTGTCCCAGAGATGCCCGACTGAAGGTTAGTGATGGGACAGAGGTGCCAGGACTCAGGGCTCTGACTTGGGGATGGAGTCTACAGAAATCCCCAAGCTCGGTTTGGTGAGGCAGATGGCTTCCTCGGGTTTGAGCATGAACCATGGCAGCAGACGTGGTGAGATGAGGGGGCTCCCTGGCACCTTAGCACCCAGCTCAAGACGGACCCTCCAGTGTCCTCGGCCTTGCCTGGGGTGTTGTGGGGAGTGCTCCCACATCCTGCCTGAGAGGGCGATGACTGGCCCCAGAACCATTCCCACCTCCCTTAGGGCTGAGCCTGCCTGCCCTCCCACCCCTGTCCTGGAGCCCAGAGTGGTGCCTCTGCCTCTGCCCTCAGAGAGGAGAGGTTTCCAGGGCACACCTGATGGTTCACAGCACAATTCAGATGATCTGGAGCACAATTGTGAAGCACAGCCCTCCCCTCTCGCCCAGGGCCTGACTCTCTTGCTAGTGGCAGCTTCTCTCCTGGAACAGGGGTCCGTGGAGTTCAGGGGCTCACACGGAGAAAGTGGTAATTTCACTGCCCCTCCGGGCCACCGCCACTCTCCTTGGATAAGCACAGCCACCCGGCGTGTGTGGACACCTCAGAAACCTTTCCCAGGCTGCCGGGCCAGCGGCAGGGAGGGCCGCATGCAGCGCTGGGGACACGAAGCTGCCCAGGGCAAGAGCCTGGGCTCTGTCCGGGCCCCAGCCTTGAAGCATCCCCACCCACGCTTACCTTCACTCCCCCAGGATAGGGTTGTCCTCAGAGTGTAGGTTAAGAGGATTAGGATCTGATCGGAGGTCAGAAGTGTGCAGAGCGATGAATGGACTGATGAAAGGATGCCAGGATGGATGGATGGAAGGAGGGAGAGAAGGGACAGAGGGAGGGAGCAAGACTGGCTGGGACAGCAGACCTCCATCTCTGAGAGCTAGGGTGCGCATGGCAGGGACAGGCCGTGGTGCTTGGCCTAAGTCACTCTTGTGCCTCTGAGTGCTCTCAGCACTGGGAGGGGCACAGTAGCCCCAGGTCCTCTCCTTCACCCCTTCGTCCCTTGGCTTCCCCCATCCCACTTGGGGTCCACTCGCCATCTCTCTTCCTCATCCCATCCCCACACATGCTCCCGTTTCTAGCCTTCTCAGCCCCACCTGTCCTTCCTGAGTGTATGAGGGGAGAGGGGATCCACATCTACACAAAGACATGAGCTTTGGGGGCACAACATCCCGCCTTAGGCACCCCCTCACCTGACAGCACCTCCTACCTGGCCCTGTGCCTAACCCTGAGCAGAAATAGCAACAGGAAAAGCAAGGCCCCAGGAGAGACACTACTATATATACTCTTCTATATATTCTATTTCTATTGTATATTCAATCTGTACATGTGGGTGTAAATGCTGTTAAATGACAAACCCAATATTATACTGTGGCTGGTGGACTATTTTCATCCTCAGTGCTGTACAGATCTATTTTCATTGTATATTTGATATATTTTTAATTTCGTAGCGTGTGGCTGGACCAGGCCCTATCGTGCCAGCCTGTGACAGGGTGGCTGAGCTGGGGCCGTCTGCTTGGTCCTGTGGGCTTGGTAGTGCTTATAGCTGCTGCCGTAGGCTGGGCCCATCCTGTTGTGTCTCTGCCATAGACATAAGGCCCGGAGCCTGGTGTGTGTGTGTGTGTGTGTGTGTGTGTGTGCACATATGTGGGTGTGCGTAGGGTGCTGATCTATGACTCCTAGTGTTCACGTTCCTGAAGACCACGCTGCCTCCTCCTCTCAGCTTCGTTAGGCAAGGCCTCAGGGTAGAGTCTTGTGGGAAGCCTGTGAGAAAAGCATGTGCCTCTTGCTGGTGACTTACTGCCTTCACACCATCAGGCTTGCCAGAAACAGGAAATGAGGGGTCTTAAGGGGTGGGAGAAGTCTGCACATTTATTTTCCAGCCAGACTTCTGGCTGTGCCCACTGGCATCACAAGCTCTTCATCCCTGGGGAAAGTGCTGGGTTTCTGAAGATGCTGAGGCCCCAAGAGGGCATCATCTCAGAGCACCTCTGTCCTGCGTTTGCCCTTGAGACATCCCTGACAGTGCTCAGAGAAGACGCCTGCCCCGCCTCTGTGCTTCTGACATACACACCTCTCTGCTCACTCTCAGGGGAGCTGGGAGTGGGCGGGCCCAGTGGGGTCAAGAGCAAGCGGGGCATCTGACAGGTAAGAGCCAGCCCTACGTGCTCTGGAGGAGCAGGAGGCGGCCAGAGAGGGCCGGGCCCCTGTGTTCCTGCACAGAGTCCCCGGGTGGCTCACTTTGGTGCTGTCCATGCAGCGTCCACAGGGAACAGAGCAGACTCCTGGGCGGGGCGGGGTGGGGCGGGGCAGGGGTGTCCCTGAAGAAGTCCCTGGTCCCCGGTCCCACCTCTGCCTGGCCCCCAGCCCCCATCACCAGCTTCTTGCTCAGGGAGCCCCCTCCGCTGAGGCAACCTGAAGCCTGAGTGAGACCCATGTTGGGTGGACGGGTGGGCACACAGGTGGATGCCCACCAGACTGACTTGTGCCCTTGAGCAATAAGTCCGTGGGGACTGCTGCTTTCCTAATGCCAGGAAGAGACCCCTCAAGTCAGCCTATAGGACGTGGGGCTAGGGATCAGAACCTGCATGGTCCTGGGCCCGAGCAGGCCTGAAGTGTTACAGGCAGGGGTCTGCCCTCTGCCCTTCTTCTCAGCCGCACTACCCCCATCCCTTGCCACCGGAATACACCCTGAGCCCCCACCTGGCCCTGAAATGGGCCTGCTGCCCCTTCACTGGAGCCTAGTGACTGGGGGTAGAGAAGGAGGGCCCAGAGTCCCTTCTCATCGCAGGCACTGCTTTGTACAGACCCAAGCACACACGGCCAGCAGCCCTTTCAGTTCTGGCTTAAGTTCAGAGTGATTCCAGTCCACATGTCCCACACTGGTCAGAACCCTGGGTCAAGGACACTCGGCCAGGGGAGGGGATGAGGCATTGTCACCCCGGAAGCCCCTCCTTCCTCTCTGCTCCCCACATGGTGTACAATAAAGTGTCTGTTCTTACCAAACCCCTCGCCTTTCTGACCTGCTCTGGGATCAGGGAGGGGGTGGGGGAGGTCACAGATCCTGAGGACAGCTTTGGGGTGAATGCCTGGATTAGGGGGGGTGGGCGAGGACCACTGTGGGAGTCTGGAAGCTGCCTGGCTGTCCAGTTGAGGAGCCAGGGGCATGAGGAAGGGCACGCACTTATTTCCCTAGGAATTATCCAGAATGGTTGGCAGCACATACACTGGCAGCAGGCCTTATGGATTCCAAGTAGTTCACACGTCTAACCTCCCGTGATCACAGAGTAACAGCTCAGAAATGCACCGTTGTCCAGGTTTTTCCAAGTGAGGGAAATGAGGCTCCATCTGATGGTGTTTCGTGTCTGTGTACAAGGTGTCATAGGGGAAATTCTTGCACTGCTTTACTGCTGGGAAGAAAGCCGGCAGTTCTGCCAGGGTGGAGGTGGGGAGGGCTGGGGGTGGGAAGGTGCCAGTGTCCAGAGGCCTGGGAGTCAGGTAGGGGGCAGCAGGGGACTGGAGAGTTCTCCAGGAGCAGGCCGTGGTGTAAATTCTGAGGGAATGACTCATCTCTTCAAGGTAGCTATCTCTTTCGCAAACGTCATTAGAAGGTAGAGATGAAATATGAGACTGTACATTGCTTGTTTTCTCAAAGGTCAATCTCGAGTATTTACTGAGCATCTACTGAATGCTCAGCTCTGAAGAACAGAATGAGCTGGGGGGATAGGGGAAGCACTACTTTGCTCACTCTCAAGGAGCACAGACATTGGAAGAAACAAAAAGTCTGGCTCCTGGGGGAAGCCCCACCCCACAGCACCCCACTCCAGTCTAGAATGAGGCTGCCTGATCCCTGACACAGCCTAAGTCCCCCAAGAAACCTTCCATTTCCTTTTCCTGCCACAGAGAAGAAAGTGTTGTTCCAAGAATAGCCACCAGATGGCATAACAACATCTCTCTCCAGCTCTTAGTCCACTTAACGTTTCTCCAACTCCATCTCTCATTCCTTGGTAGGCTAATTTGTTCTTGAGCAATCATTTATTAAGTGTCCACCATGAACAGACTCTGTGCCAGCTATGGATATACAAAGATAAATAAATACACGCCCACTGTCCTGAGTTTGGAGAAAGGAGCCCCTCCTCTCCCACCCACCATCTCCAAATCTCTCAAACAAGGGAATGTCTTGGTGCTAAAAATATCACTCCTTGAAAATTAATTCAATTCTTTGTTTGGAAGTAATGTTTGGGGTTGAAATGCCAACCCTAAAGGACACATTGATTCACTAAGAAGCAATATCACAAATACTTGAGTTTTAGGGAGTTGCAGTTAAACTTCCCAAGTTCAAGTTCAAATGCCAACTAGACCTTCTGCTTCCTGAGAGAATAACTAGAGCAAGTTATTTAACCTCTCTGAGCTTTAATTTTCTAGTCTGTAAGATAGGTAATAACGAATGGATTGAATGAGATAACATGTTGTTATGTATCAATTTACTCCAAAGCTCAGTGGCTTGAAACAACCATTTTATTATATCGCGTGGTTTTTTGGGTGAGGAATTCAGGCAGGGCTTATCGGTGTGGCTCTTCTAGTGGCAACTGAGGTTGCTCAGTAGTAGTCAACTAGCAGATGAGCTGGTCCAGAGGGCCCAAGGCAGGCTCACTCACATTCATTCAAATGACTGGCGCCTCAGTGAGAACGGTTGGCAGGCTAAGCTCACGCATGCCCCAGACAACTAGACTCCACAGCACAGTTCACGCCCGGGTGGCCAGACTTGTCTGCGATGGCTCAGGTTACCCAGAGAGACCATTTCAAGAGATAGGAGGTGGAAGCTGCTGATTCTGAAGGCCTGGGCCTGGAAAATGGCACAGTGTTGCTTCAGCTGTAGTCTGTGGGCCACAGCATCTGCCCCGAGTTAGTGGAAGGGCATACAGACCTCGCCGGTTGATGGGAGGGGAACCAAAGGATTCGTGGCCTATTGCAGGATGCGGAGATCTTCAGTCATTGGCACCTGAGTGGGGCACAAACAAGTGAGTCCTCACAGGGAGGTGAACAGTTAAGCTTGGACCCTGCCCTGGGAGCAGACAGGGAGGAAGAGAAGGGCATGTGGGCAGGGGACATGGGAGACAACTTCTTTCGCCGCATGTTTGCCCAGGCAGGTGGCATGAGGTAGGTTTGAGTCATGGCTCTACCGTCAACCTTGCCACATGAGGCAAGTCCCCGAACCCTCTAAACCTCCACTTTCTAAAAGGAGGATAACAAAATCCCTTCCTCACAGAGACATTGGGAAGGAAAAATGAACTCCTTGTAGTAAACCTGCTGGAATCCAGTATAGAATTCTTTCTAAACTGGAATAGAATCGGAGTTCATTAAATATTAGCTTCCTTTCTTCTTGTGACCAGAGTACATTCATGGGTCTGCTTCATTCCAGGGCCCCCCTTACCCTTGCAGTGAGTCATTCTCCCAGAGCTATTCAGAAAGGTCAATCTCAGCCTAAAACTCAATGAGATCAAGGAAGGAGGGGAGAGAAGGCATCATTTGAAGGAAAGGGAGTATCAAAGTGTGGAGGTCTCACCAATCCCACACATCTTCCTGCCCCCCCAACAACCATAACCAGCCATACAGCCTCACCCAGCCCCACCCCCAGGGCCTTGGACAGAAGGAGAAGGCTTCTACAGACCATAGGCATGTGGTGGCATTTTTTTTTTAAGGCCTCAAATTTTTTAACACTTCAAGGGAATGGAGTCCATGCTCCACCCCTGGAATCTGGTGGGCAAAGGCTTCCTTTGACCAATAGAATATGGTGGAAGTGATGTTACATGACTTTTGAGTCTAGATTAGAATAGGTTATGCCACTCCCACTGGGAGTTCTGGGGAAATCCAGCCACCTTCTAAGAAGTGCAACTATCCTGAGACCAGCCTGTGCCAGAGAGGACATGTGTTTGCAGGTGTTCTGTTGACAGCTTCAGCCAAGCTCCCAGCCAACAGCCAGCATCAACTGCCAGCCACATGGATGCACCCTGGTGAACATCCAGCCCAGCTGAGCTTCAGATGTCTGCAGCCCTGACTGACACATCTGCTTGCGGCTGTATGAGGAACTCTAAGCAAGGGCTGTCTAACAGTCTTTCCTAACTCCTGACCCATAAAATCATGAGCAAAATACAAAGCTTGTTGGATTTACACCATGAAATCTGGGTAATTTGTTTCACAGCAATAGTAACCAGAATACGAACCTTAGTGCTGATCTGGCCCAACTTTCTCATCGAACAGTCAGGGAAAAGGAGGCTCAGCAATCAGAGAATTCAGAGCCCAAAAATCAGAGCCTCATGAACCATGGAGTTAGAGTCAAAGGGCTGAAAGGGACCGGAGTGTCAATCAAGTGGGGGCAAAACTGAGGCCAAAGACTGGGTTTCTCCCAATCCAGTGCACCCTCCAGGATAGCAAGATGCTGACAGGGAGGGCTCCAGCCCCTCCTGCCCTCATCCCACTGCCTCTTTAATTCCATCCATCAAACATAAACCAAATGTTCTGAGCACCTAGGACTGTGCTAAGCACTTGAGTATATACAAAGAAGGATCAGGCAGAGGTCCCTGCTTTGTAGAGGCAATAATAATCTGACTTGGCATGTCCTGTCCCTGTTATATTCACCAGTGCTAGGGACTCTCCTGCATTTACTTACATAGTGGGAAGAAACCCTGGGAAATGGGGAGAAGACCATGTCTGTCACTCAACAAGCACCCAGCCATTATCAGGATTACTCCCTGTGAGCCATGGTGCCAGCTGCCGAGCAGAGCTCCGCCCTTGGCTCCCTGGGTCAGAGCTGGCTGCCTTCCAGGTCTATCTGCTCTTCCCAGAGCTGACCAAGCAGGGAAGGACCCCTAGGCTTCATGAGCATCCAAGAGGAGCCAAAGTTTTTTCTGCCTCTCCAGACACCACTTTCTTTTCCTCAAGACCCTCCTAGAGGGGACCGGGCCCATCAGGACTAATGAATATACTAATGGAATAAACCAGTTTTGCTGGAATTTGGTCCAAGTGGGAATAATCTGTACTCTTCTAGATGGAGAAGCGCTGAGTGCCAAGGAGTCTTACCAGCTGGGCCCTGAGCTCCTGTGTGTGCACGGGCACTCTCTCTGTCTACCCCCAGGCTAGGTCTCTACCTCAGCAGCCTTGAGCCAGGAGGGCTCTGGGGGTCCACTTAGCTGCCCCGATCCTGTGCTTCCCATGAACACTGTTTTGCCTGCAGAAGCCACATGGACCCCAGGTCGTTCTTGACTCTTGGCGCAACCCCAGACCCAGCGCAGTCTCCCAGCAATCACTGCTGCTCCTCAGGCCTGGAATTTCTCAAGGAGAATATGCCTGTGAGTTGACACCCAGGTCTCTTCCAGTCTTTTGACTCCAAGTTCATGGTTTATGATACTCTCAGTCCTGGCTAGGCCTGAGCTTGTAGTCTACACCCTTCTGGTCCTTTCCCTTTAAGAGCTGGGCCACCAAAAGCCCATCTTTGGAATTCCCCTGGGGACCCAGATACACCTTCATTAGGATTTTCACTGCAACCCAGCCCTGTCTTCAGCCCTTGTGCAGAGCCCTTCCAGTTGACCTCTGCAAGGCCTGGTGGGCTGTCCTAATGTCTAGGTTCTTCCCAGATCCCTCCTGGGAAGGCTATCAGCATTTGATTTGGAGCCTGCAAGTCTCTGCAGGCTGCTTGGGGGTGGGGGTGGGAGGCAGGATAAAGTGAAGTGATAAGCACAGAGGAGGTTTCAGCCTCCACTCGTCCGCCCTACTCTCCCTCCACAAGGGAAAAGCTCTATCACCCTCTGCCTCAGTGATGATGGCTGATAAAGCAATTCAATCAACCAGTCTGGGAAGCAGGGAAGGCTGGGAGAGGATGCTGACTCCTTGACCTGTATCTGAGGGAAGAGATGTCAGTCCTTGGCTGGAGCTGGAATACCAAAATGGAGATATGTGAATAGCAATGGTTAGTCCCTTGGCTTGGAACCCATGGGCCTGTTGCTAGGCCTGGAGCCCCTCAAAACAAGCAGAGTCCAAAGAAAAAAATGGAGAGGATACTGGGTGGCTCATGTCATCCCAAAGTGGTTGAGTCCTGCACTAAGTAGGAAATCCAGAAGTGTAAATAGCTTTGATGTCAGGCTTTCAAGCCTTCTGGATCAGCCTCAGCCCTAGGAGAGGAAGGGCCTTATTTGAGGGGCCATTCCAGAGCCGACACCCCCCATCCAGGCCACTCTGGGATCAAACACTACTCTCTTTTCTTTTTATTTACCATACCTTTATTCCTACTGAGGAAAACACACTGTGGCTGACACTTAAGCATGAACTGGCTCCCAGATGGATGTCATTTCCAGATAGCCAGAAGAAACCTGAGCATCCCGGGAAGGAAAGTGGAGAAAAGGTGGTAATGAAGGGAAAGAAGTTTGTGGAATTGAGACTTTCCAACTGTGACTGCTTTGTGGTCTTGCTGAAAACTGTTGGTTATCAAGGACTTGGAGCAATGGAAAAGGGGGACAGCAAGCTGAGTCCCAGATGGGAAAGAGAACCTGAGGTCCTGGAATTGATGGCCCCTTTTTCTTCCAGGACCACAAGCCAAGTGAGGTCTGGAGCATGGCATCCTAGCACCACCAGGGGGCAGCACCTACCCATCCACAGCATGCCGTCACGTGGTTGGCTGAGCAGGGGGCTCTCTCCTGGATTCTGAGCTCTGAGGAAATAGGAGGTCCTCATACACACAGAATAAAGGGAGACAAGCCCTATGAGGCCAACTGCCACATACTGAATTCTCCAGAAAATTTCAGAGAGGCTCAGGTAACAGATCAGCCCAGAGCTCTAGGATAAAACGTTCAGCAAGTGGTGAGGTCTTCTCTGGAGGCCTCTGGCCTGAGGCAGAGTCCCCTACTCGAGGAGCTGGGTGGTATGCTGCGACAGAGGTCCTCCACCCAGTTCTCTTTCTCCCCACTGCCTCTCCCAGGCTAGGCCCTCTGTTTTCGGTTACTCCTTCTGGGTTCCCCTACCCCCATCCCAGTTTTCTGATCTCCAGGCCTCCTTTTTCCCTGGTAGCTTTCTTCCTCCACCCATCTCCCCACAGGCTTCTCACCATCTACACACCCTGCAGTGTGGAAACACCGAGAGAGCAGACATGTACCAGGGCAAGGTTGGAGGGTCTATGTTTTGTTCATTGATTTCCAGTGCCTGGAATAGCTTCTGGGACATAGTAGATATTCAAGAAATATTTATTGAATGAACAAGTGACTTAGGAGTGGGATGCTGGCATGGCTTTTTTCACCTCTCCCAGCCACCCTCAACAACCTCTCTCATTTCTTGGAATGACTGAGTTCAACCACCCTGAAGAATGGAAAGTAGGGGAGAGACCCCAAGAGAGTTTGCCAGGACACAGTCAGCTAGGGCTTTAAAACTATTCATTACAGTCAATTCTTTAGTACCCTTGTTGTGAGTCTTACTTGCTCATTCTAGCTTCTGGCTTGTCCTGGCTCTTCTCTTCCCAGTCTTCTCAAATGTGACTACATTTGAGAGATTTCTTTTTCACTGCAGCAAACTCAAAGCCAGCTAAACTCTGAAATGCCGACATCAGATCCAAGGGGTAGGGAGACTAGACACAAAATGAGCGCCAGCAAATTTGTGTTTCTGATTACAGTCCAGAATGCTGTTTAACTTGTCTGTGTGTTAGTAGAGATTACTGATCATCATCACATTATTTTGCTTTTTCTGACCTCATTAAGGATGAGACTTTTGCTTATAAGGAGTCCCCATATTTGTACTGGACTTCTAACCTTTCCTCAGAGCTATAGCCAGATGGTGCACAGGTGTCCGGGGAGGTGTGTCAATCACCTTGCATTTCTGCTTTAAAATCCTTTTTACAGTGATCTGGACAGATATGGAGCCTTGCCTAAAACTGTAAAAAAAAAAAAAAAAAAGGACTAATTTAAAGATGTGGAAGAGTTCTGGACTTAACAAATAAAAACAAATGAATCTGGACATTGCTTTTGGATTGAAGCCAATGCAGTCGGGCTAGTGCCTAATATTTTGGGTATAGCAGCTTCTCAATCACTTAGCAAACAGGTTCTCAGAGGCAGGCACTGTGGGAGTTATCAAGATGAAAAAGCAGTGTGGCCTGTTAAGAGCTCAGGGTCGGAGTGCGGAGATGTGACAGAAAAAGGGCAAAGTCAATCTGCAGTGAGTGAAACAGCAGAACCTGGAGGGAGTCACAAGGTGTGGCATGGATGCTTCCTATGTGCCCCCTGGGACAATGATGAGCCACGGCTTTAACCTAACGATCTTTCAGGGCCACCTGCCCCACACCTGTAACAGCGCCAGGACTACGCTTTTTTTCCACCCAGAACAGGAGCTGCTTTTCTGCCCAAGGCCGCCGGGTGCCTTATTGCCGGCGGGGCCTTCGGTGACTGACAGACTCCAGCATCAGGACGACGGGGATCTCGAGCCCAGTTGGGGGCGGAGTCGTCAGGAGGCCCTAGCACAGTGTCTGGGGCAGGAGCGGGGCAGCCTCTTCCTAGCGACACTGTCTCTCCACTCTTTTCTCCCTCCCGGCCTCCAGTCGGCCACAATTAAACCGCAACAAAGCGATCGGCTAGATCGGGGGGAGGAAACGGGAGAGGACAGAAGGGGCAGGCGGAGGTTAGAGGTCAGAGGTCGAGAGCGCTTCGGTGGCTGCGGGACTGCAGTGGGAGGAGCTGCGGGTTCTAGGAAGGCGGGGAGCGGGGCCGAATGGGGCGGGAGAGGATGGCGGCGGAGGCGCGCAAGAGCGGCGCGCAGGCGGCAAGGGGGTTACGCGCCTGGCTGAGCTGGGTTCGGCTCGGCTCCACGGAGGAACGCGGAGCTCGGTCGCCGGGGCCCTGCAGCTAGCCAGGTCGGCCCGGAGCCGCGCCCCGCCCACCCCTCCCTGCGGAGGGCGCGCCCGAGCGAGGCGGGGCCGGGAGGAAAAGGCGCCAGCGGAGTGGCGTCCGCTGCCAACGCCGGAGGGAGACGGAGAGCCCTCGGAGCTGCAACCCAACTGCGTGGAGGCAATCCCAGTCCCTAGGCCACCTCTCGCCCGCCCCCTGCTGCGGGCCAAGGCCAGCGCCCCGCCCAGAGATGGGTAAACGCGTGGATGGCGTGGCTCCCAGCGCCGCCAGATCGCAGGAGCCCGGCGCCGGGGCGCTGCGCTGAGGCTCTCGCTCGGCGCAGCCCAGGAAGCCTGCAGGTGTCCTTGGCTGCTCGGCCGCCACCCGGGAGACTCCTTCACCAGTGCCCAGAGCCCTGTTCCCTGGAGCTGCCCCGCCCCCCAAGCTCGGCGCCGCGCAGGACGCCCCGTCTGAGGCCCCCCCCCCGCCCCGGCACGGCCCCCGCAGCGCCCAGCCCAGCGCAGCTCCCCGCCGCTGTCGAGCCGTGGACACAGGACCAGAGGCTCGCTCCAGCGGGCGCGCTTGTTTTCCTTCTGCCGCCTCGCCCTGCGCAGCACCAGCCTGTCTGAAAGCCGCGTTCCGCCCCGCCCGCCATCCGTGCCCTGCGCTGGATTTATGAATGGGGGGAAGAGGCCACATGCCGCCGCCGCCGCCTCTTGTTGACCGCACGCAGCCAGGGCCCGCGGAGCTCCGGTTACCGTGAGAGCGCCGGCCCGGCCCCGGCAGCCGCTCCCAGGACTTGTTGCTGCTGCGCTGCCGCCGCCGCTGCGGCGGGGAAGCCGGCTGCTCCGGGGCTCGGCGCGGACTGGGAGCAGGAGAGTGGCCCGTGTGAGTGTGAGCGCGCGCACTGCCCGGACCCTCGCAGTGCGCCTGGACAGTGCACTTCCCCGTCTTTGGGGAGGTGGAGGGGGGGCGTGTCCCGGTCCCCTAGCATCTGAGTGCCTCGGGTCCTAGCGGGGGGAACGTGTGTGTGCTTGCCCTGCTTCCCCGGGCGCCTCGCTTGGGTCCTCGGCTCTCCTTTTCCCCTCCTGACTCCCTCCCCGGCGCTGCCAGCCCAAACCCCAACCACCTGTGCACCCGAGAAATCCAACTCCTCTCGCTCGGTGCCCCGGGGGGGAGGCAGGGGCAGGGCCACGCCGCAGAGGGGGCCGCCGCCGCCTCCTGCCTCCTCCTGGTCCCCTCCCCCATCCCCGTCTGACGCTGCCTCCTCGGGAAGGGTGTTTGGAGGGCAGCGGCCGCCCCAAGCCGAAGCCCCGCAGCGCTTCTTATGATCAGCTCGGTGTGTGTCTCCTCCTACCGCGGGCGCAAGTCGGGGAACAAGCCTCCGTCCAAAACATGTCTGAAGGAGGAGATGGCCAAGGGCGAGGCGTCGGAGAAGATCATCATCAACGTGGGCGGCACGCGACATGAGACCTACCGTAGCACCCTGCGCACCCTACCGGGCACCCGCCTCGCCTGGCTGGCCGATCCCGACGGCGGGGGCCGGCCCGAGTCCGATGGCGGTGGTGCAGGCAGCAGCGGCGGCGGGGGCTGTGAGTTCTTCTTCGACCGGCACCCGGGCGTCTTTGCTTACGTGCTCAACTACTACCGCACAGGCAAGCTGCATTGCCCCGCCGACGTGTGCGGCCCCCTCTTCGAGGAGGAGCTCACCTTCTGGGGCATCGACGAGACCGACGTGGAGCCCTGCTGCTGGATGACATACCGGCAGCACCGCGACGCCGAGGAGGCGCTCGACATCTTCGAGAGCCCGGACGGAGGCGGTGGGGGCGCGGGGCCCGACGAGGCCGGCGACGACGAGCGGGAGCTGGCCCTGCAGCGCCTGGGGCCCCACGAAGGAGGCGCGGGCCCTGGCGCGGGGCCCGGGGGCTGCCGCGGCTGGCAGCCCCGCATGTGGGCGCTCTTCGAGGATCCCTACTCCTCCCGGGCGGCCAGGGTGAGTGGCAGGAGCCTGGGTCTCCTCTCAACCGAGACTGACTGACTTGACCACCACCTCCCTCCCAAATTCCCTTACTTTGCATGGGGCCCCCGTGGAAATACCCACTTACCCCACAGCCCGCCCCCTGCACGCTTCAGGAGAGTGCACCCACCTGACTTACTACTTGGACCTAATCCAGCTCCTGCCTTAAGGCACCCCCCTCGCAGCGAGTAGGAAACCCCTAGCTGTGCTCTTGCTTTTCTACCCTCTCCTTCCTGCTCAGGCGGCCTCTCTACATCTAACCCCAATTCCTCTGAAGAACAGAGTGCTGGAGAGCTGGAATGAAGCCTTGAGCTGGGGTCACGCAGGATTTGGGGCGATGGGAGGGAAACTAGTGTGTAAGTGGCTGATCTGGCAGGTCGTGGGGTTTGCTGCTTCCTTGTGTCCCATCTCATAGAAACCCTCCCAGCAGCTTAGCGTGCTAAGAACTCTGAGTTCTAGAGAAGGGGCCTCGGGCTTCAGCTCTTTAGCCATAATAGGCAGAACTGGGACCAGAACACCAGGTTTGGGAGAGTCCTTTTTCCCAGGAAGAAGGAAGCAAGAAGAGCAAGATAAGTCAAGATGCCTGCCTCAAGCTATGCCCCTGAGGCTTTCTGGACACCAGAGTTGTCCTGGCCTCTGCTGGGATGAGGGGAGAGTCAGACAGGAAGAGCCTAAGGTTCTGGGCCCTTCAGCTTCTACAGCCAGTGGCCAGCCACAGGCTGCCTGGTGATGATCCCAGATTTGTTGCTGCTGCTTTCTTCCTGCTTTAGCACAAATTGGCTTCCCAGAAAGCCCTGGTTCAGGTTACTGCTTGAAATAGGTGACAGGGATGGATGGGGGGCGGGGGTGGCAGGAGGAAGTGTAGGTTGATTTAGGCAAGATCTAGTCCATTCCCATCACCCCCTCCTCAAATCAATCCACTTTTCCCTAATCCTTTTAGGTGGAAGGGGGTGCTGTAGAGGTAGGCTTAAGCATCTTAAAAAAACACAACAAAACCTAAAGGATGGCTTTAGATTCTCTAAAACAGAGAACCCTGGAGGTTAGTGTCTGATCTCAAGCCTGGCTGGGGTCTGTCTGGGAGACTGAAGACCAACGTGATGCATTGGATCTGGGTGTGGGGACGCTCTCCTGCGTCGGAAGCTGGTAGTTACCTCTGGCGTCCCAAGTTGTCACATTAATGAGTCTCAGAGCTCTGCCACCTTCCTCAGCACCTCTGGTGCTGGCCCTCAACCCAGTCATGGAAGGAAAAGTTCCACTCCCCCCATCCTCAGGGGAGAGCAGGAGATTGGGAAATGGGGCTGCAGGGAGGGGCCAGGCTGGCATAAATGCTCTACCAGGGCACCTGCATCGCCTGTGTGTAAGAGAAGAGAGGAGCAGAGAGGTCAGCGGCTGAGGCATATGTCCTCGGGCAACCACTGGAAGGCAGGGACCGGTTTCAAGACAGAGCAAAGCTAGGGTGCCACCTCTGTTCCTTGCCCTGCAGCCCTGAGACCAGCTCAGAAGGTGAGGGCTCAGTGAGGCCCTGGCAGACTGTGAATCCCATGGGCTTTTCATGCCGTGCTCTAGCCCTGCTGGTGTCCGCTCTCAGCTGCAGGCATGGTGAGAGGGGTGGGAGGGGGCAGAGACAAGTGCAGATCCTTTAGGTTCTTTCAAAGTTGGCAGTAGAGGAGGAGGAGGCTGATTTAACTCGGGGTTGGGGAAAGAGAGCATGCCAGGGAAGCAGGAATGAGATGAGATGCTTAGAGGCCCTATTTCTGAACATTCTGGGGGTCTCTGAAGACTTTTTACCTACTCAGTTTCCTCTCCCTTGGGTTCCAAGGGGCTGTACCATCAATGCATTTATTTTGTCCTTAATTCACTGCCGAGTGGCCCAGCTTGGGCTCTGTGAGTAAGCTCAGAGCCTGGTTATCCTCTAGAAGTCCTCCATGAGCCCAAGATATTAATACTTGGCCCTTTTGATATATCAATAAAATCACAGCAGCCAGGGAAGTCCATTTGAGGTTGGAAGTTTTGGGGCTGGGTTGGGGAAGTTCTTCCTATTTAACAAAGAAACCAGGATTCAGAGGTGTTAAGTGTCTTATCACAGACACTTAACTAATAAATAATAGAACCAGGAAACCACCCCACGCCACCTGCCTTCTGGTTGTTAACACTGATGTGCACAGCTGTATGGAGCTCATGCCAGAAGGGGCTCATTTCCTACAGAGGAACACAAGCCAAGGCAAGCCTTCAGCTGTTCCTGGGACACACTAGTGAGAGCACAAAAGTTTAAAAAATTAACTGATAGCAACTGCCATTTATTGAGCACTCCATGCAAGTACTTTGCATTACTCCTTCCAGTAAACTACCAGCAGAGTGTTAATATTATCTTATTTAATAGACTGAGGCTGTGAGAGGGCAGACAACTTCTCTAGGGTCACACAGCTCAAGAGCGGTGGGCTGGGACTCAAAATCAGGGCTCCCTTGCTCCTCAGATGATCACATGCTCTTGTTATCATGCTTTTGAGGTGGCTCATTTCTTACTCTGGTCTGGGAGGTTTTCCAAGGTTCTGTACCTGCTGTGGATGACATCAGAAAACCCAGGGGCAGATGGGGACGTCAGAAGGGACACTGACTCAGTTACGCTTCCAGGCCTGAGGTACAGGGTTTCTGGGGCTGTGTTCTCCGAGCTCTACTTACCCCAGACCAGTAACACGCCCCCCCCCAGTGTCGTCCCCTGGGTCTGTGTGCATACCTTCCCTCCCTCCGGCCTCTTCCTGCTGCCTCCCTGGTCCCTGGACAGGGGCTTCCAGGGCCAGTAAGGGTAGAGGAGCCTCCCACTGACCCCGGGCATCTCTCTGCACACAGCAGCTGGTCATTTGAGTAGCGCGTTATGACAGAAGCAAAACAGATACAAACGGAAAATGAACTGAGATGATTATGGGAGGCTGTTGCCTAGCTACTGGGCTGGCCCACAGAGCCATTCCCCTTTGGGCTCGCCCCACTCCCTTCCCTGCGTCTGGGCCCATGGGTGGCTGCTGCTGTGGTTCTGTTCCCATGGCCTGACCTGGGAGCAAGTGCAAGGGGCGGGCTTGTCTTGGCCCCATCTGCCCACTGCCTGCGTTCTAGGCAGAGTGAGGGCTCAGCAACGGTGAGGGTGGCTTCCCAGACTGTAGGGGACCAGTTGGGTTTGGGCGGCATCCAGAGTGCTAGAATCGGGCCTTCCTTCTTTTCTGACGGCTGACACCAGGCCTGATGGTTGGGACCCTGGGCTGCTCACCTCCCATATCCCTGTTCCCAGAGGTCCCCAGGGCTGATCTGGCTTAAGTCCAGTTATTGGCCATCTTAAGGATGATAGTCCTCCTCTGGGTAAATCAGTACCTGGATTGAGTTTTCTCATGATGTTTCCCTTCTGAGTAGAGGAGATGACCCCACAGGATCCCAGTGCAGCCGGAGCTGGGGTTTCACATCGCCTAGGCATCCACTATGTGTCAGGTGCTGGCATCTGGGCTTTTTTCTGATATCTGACCCACGTGAGGCAGGGAGTATTAACCTAAGCTTACAGAGAAGGGAACGGAGCCCGGGGGGGGCTTGTTGAAGGTCACATAGCTGGTGGTAGAACTAGGATCTAAGCCCAGATCTTGGGCATCCCCATGTGTGCTTGTCCCCCGCCTCTCCCTCCTCCTGGGGCTCTGCTAGGAGAGGACCTCTGAATTTAAGAGGCCCTCTGCTATCCTCCCATCCCTTCCTTCACTTCTCCCTCTGAATTAAAGCCCCCATCTCCTTGCTCCCTAGAGTTGCTCACACTGAGCTTGCTTGCTCTTTCTTTCCCTCACTGTGGGGCTTTTATAGGACAAAAAGAAAGAAGGCTTGGTTGAGAGAGGAGACCAGGTTTTCCATGGCCTGGGCAGAGGAATGAAACCAAGGCCTTCTAGGAAGGAAATGCAGAGTTTGCTTCCTGCTCACCTTTTCTGAAGGCCCTGGCTTCTCCTGCCTGGACGTTGCCTGGTACCAGCCACTCGGTGGGCATGACAGGCTTCTGAGTGAGGCCAGGGCTTGAGGTCCCCATGCCCTCTGGGTGAGAAAGGGCTAGGAACCTGAGTAGGAGGCTGGGTGCCCTGACTTCCATGGCACCCTTGGGAGGGCAGTGCCAGCATGCCCCAGGGCAGCCCCTCTGCCTCCTTCCCAGGCCAGGGGCTGCCTTCTACCCTCACCCCGTCTCTGCCCTCAGGCAGCCTCCCAGCCTCCTCCTGGGCTTGTTAGTTGTCTTCCTCTCTTGTTCTGAACAGACCAACATTTGTCTCTGAACATCTTGTCTCTGGATGATGAGGTGTTTCTGTCACCGTTTGGGCTGGGGTGTAAGGTGGGGGGAGGGATAAAATAGACTTGGGCTATTTTGGAGAGTTGGGGAAGGAGCAGGCACGAACAGAGTCAGGCAGCCGGGCCGTAGGAACCAGGAGCCCCCAGGCCCCTCACTTATTCCCATGGTCAGTGTTGGCCTGGGATGCTGGCACCAGGGTACGCGCGCCGCCTTTGCTCCTGGGCAGCCAGCCTGCCTCAACATGACCCAGCTCCCTGCTGGGGTATTCCTCCAGCTGGGTGAGGTTACCCGCCCCTGGCAGGGGTCCCCGTCAGGCAGCAGGCTTGACCCACCTTGGAGAGCCACAGAGTCTGAGAGCCCAGGTACCAGGAGGGATTCCTGGGTGCCCCTCTGTCACCTCTCCTCATGACAGGCTCCTTAGGACCAGGAGAGGAAGCAGGCAGTCAGTCACCTTGGCTTCAGTCATCCAGAAAACATTTATTGAGCACATACTATATGCCAGATACCAGGGTGGCTTTTATAAAGACGAGTTAAGAGGTGGTCTCTATTCCTGAAGAGAGCCAGGTCAGGTGGAGTGGGTGTCAGCCACAGAAAAATGAGCGACAGGAAATGGTAAAGATAATACACATATATCATGAGAGGGGCCACAGTAGTCTTTTTTTTATCTTCTTTTTTT